GGGGGCCGAGCAGCCGAGAGGGACAGGCCCCGGCCTGGCTGCAGGCCGCACCGCGCCTCCCGGCCCCCGCGAGGAGTTGTGAGGTGGCTGAGGAGCTAGGAGGTGACTAGGAACGTCTGCGGTGTCAACCTGGCGCTAATAAAGAAAGAAGTTAGTTTCCCAGCTCACAAAACGTTTGTTTTGCCCACAGCAAATAAGGAGTCCCAGAGGCTCAAGCAGAGAGGATCTGGCCCTTTTTGTAGCTGAGTGAAGACCCGGGCTTTCCTGGACTGTTTGTCTTTTCACAATACTGAGCTCAGGGTTAGTAGCTTAGATTGAAAATCTAAATCATGCAGAAGCTGATGAAAAGACACTGAGGGAAATATCTTAAGACTACAGAGTTTAACCCCAGATTTCTTACTTTGGTCTCATTATCAGTTAGTCACAGTCCTGTTGACACGGCATTCTCCCTTATTTCACAGAGCTGACAGTGGTTGTACCTTTTGTGTGCGGAGTTAAATTGCTGCTTGGCTCTTACAAGGGAAAACTGCACGTTGCTTTAGTGTAAACCAGTTTTCCGTGCAAATACTAAGGATTTATTGCCACCTCTCTAAAGATATGACTGAAAACTAGTGTGGGTGAGCTCCTGCAGTTTTCCTACAGTCCCTTTGCATTTTTCCATGAGGAATTAAGTTTCGTTTCCCTGTTCTGCATGCAGCTGTTGAGCTGCAGTTAGATGGCACTGTTGTTGGCTCTCTAGCAATGGGTTCATACGAAGGCATAGCGTGTATGTGGTACTTTGTTGGCCGTAGTTGGTCACAGAGCGTAAAACAAAGGATCCCCGAGCCCAAGATGCAGTGCCATAGGGCACGTTCTTTCCTCCAGCTCACTTTAGGGGCTGTTGCTGAAATCAGTGGAAACCATAAAATGTGCAACTAGTGGCCATGGAACACTTAAGCTATTTAGAGTAACTTTTATTTTGATATCTCTTGTAGTGAAACCTTAATATCCTTGCCATTGAATTTACATGACATCTAGCAAATAGCCTAGAAAATGATACCACTAATTAAGAGATACCTTAAGGACTGGGTGCAGTTACAAGTAAAGTGGATGCATTATAGCCCCATTTTGCAAACTTTAATCTCACAGTTATGGCCATCAATGCTGGTGCAGCTGTTCTCAAAAGTAAAGTCTGCATTTGTAGGTAAGATTTTGGAGGCTTGTTCCCAGTGTTCTGATATTTTAAGGGTTGCTATGTCGCTAAGATACAAGCGGAAAGGTAAGTTTGTTTAATACATTTTTTTGAATAAATTTTATAAAATATTACTGTGATCTGTGCTTCACTAGGTTATATCTGAGGCTTTGCTGAAGTGGAATTGTCATGAAAAATAGTATGGACTTGATTCATGATTGCATTATTCCTTTTTCACACTGATATAGCTACATTGAAAATAATTGACTTAGACCAATGGGGCATGAAAAAGAGGCAGGGATGAATTTGGCTCTGTATCTTGAAATTAAATACCTGCCATTTTCTGTTCGGCATTTGCTGTACCTTAAGAAAAATCATAAGGCAAATTATATCAAATCACACTATCAAAAGAAACATTTTCTTGTTCTGTGCAGTAGAACTGATCTGAAACATTTATGTGTTCAGAATTCTCTCAAAACCACACTTTTTTTCTTGCCCTGTATTTAAAAATTGATAACCACAGGGAAAGGACTTTGAGTTATAAAAACAGGGGTTTTTTTTGTAATTGTGTCATCTGCTGGTAAAACATAATTGAACTCAAGGTTTGCATTTGGAAATGACCTTGACTAAAGTTTTACAATTCAAAGAATTCATTTAATGATTTAAACTGTCTAGAACGCCATAATCACTTCACGGGGCAAAACCTGTGTAGCTCCTACTGAGGACCCTGTATTTGGCAAAGTCAGAAAGTGACTCTTTCTGCCTCTTAAGGGATGATTCTAGGCTCTGTTTACAAAGAAAATCAGCATGAGGCAGCAGTTTAGAGTAAGGCTGAATCATCATAGGGGTCTTGTACTCACCTGTGGCTTGAAGAACCAGCTTGTAAACTCTCTGGGTGTATCTGGCTTGCCAGTCTCCTGGAACCAGTAGCCCTTTATTGGCCCTAGTTTTGGGAACAATCTTCACTCCATCTCTTTCTCCATATGGAGGCTAGTTTATATCACAAGCATGACATTGCTAGGTTGTGCATGCTGCATCTTCCGAGTACTAAAATAGGTCCTACAAAGGCAAAGTTGGCTGTAGCGTGTGTGCTCGGTGGATGTAATTCCCTGGCTCACACTGCTGTGTTGTATTGGTTATGGAGAGAATAAATAATGTATTTCTGTCTATCAGACCCCTTGGCTCCCTCCTCTCTTCTCCCTCCCCAAAGGGAGGCTGCAGGCTCAGGTTTTTCCCTTGATTCCAGTTTTTAAACTTTCTTTGATGTTTCTGAGTGCAAGAGGAGGGAAAAGAGAATGATTGCATACCTTTAAGTGCCTGAAGATGAAAATCTTCAGTCTTAATTTCTCACCTTTAAGCCACTGTTAATTTTCTTCTTGAGTAATACTTTCCCAGAAGCATTAGTGACGAAAGCAGTTGTCTGCATGGGTGTCCCCTTGTAAGCATGTCTTAGGTTTTATCCCAGTGGTGCTTGCCCAAATTTGCATCATGTGCCGACTATAGCATAAAGTGCTTTGGAGAGTGAATGTTCATTGCAGCTTTGAAGTACAATCACAAGTTGATTGGAATACATGTTGTTCTTTCTATCAAGTTCTTTCTAGTTTGTTCTTTAGAGACCTTTTAAAAGGAAGACGTTGGCTTATGATTGCTGTTCAAAGTAAGCTGCCTGAATATATCCAGCAGTTCCCTTCCCTGGATTCCCCTTTTCTGCTTCTAGCTCCCTCACCAAGCTGTATCTTCCTGTGAGTATACTCAAGTAGGACAACAGAAGAGGGAGAAGAAGAAGATAAAAATAATACTGATCCCCAAATAGGGGTAGTTACTCATACAAATAATGTGGGTGCTGTTAAAACCCACAGACAAGAGAAGTCGGTACTAGTTATCTCCTATATCATTGCTCCAGACAGGGTTGTGTATACAAACACAATGAGGGCAATGAAACAACAGAAACGGATATGCAGTTCACTGACTCTCTGTTCAGTATGAAGTGAGTAACTGCAAGGCGCCAGGCTGGGACCACAACCACCTCGACACCGTGCTTGCAAAGGACTCTGGCTGACATGCTCTGCTTCCTCTGGCTGAGGCTCTGGCTCCTGGTTTGATAGCCAGCCAGGTATATGTACGTGTCAGTCAGGCATATTCTAAATGGACCATGGGTGTGGACAACTGCTAAATAGGGAATTTAATCTTTTGCCAATAATTTTGACCCTGGTCAAAATGCAGTATCTGTTTACTGTAGTCTTGCTGTTAGTCTCTGTGTTCCTGCAGGACTTAAATGATGCTGTGTATACATATATTTCAACATCATCTGGGATGCTTGAGGGTATTGAATATGAATAAGCAATGGGCATTATTAAAAATATTACTCGAAGGGAGGGTGTTATAATCATGCCTTTGGATTTTCTCCTGTAGGGCAACCTGTGTTTTTAATGGCCTCACTGGAGCTGCGTAAACTTGAAAGAGGCCTCAACCTGCTAGATGTTGGTTTCTGGGTTTCTTAATACACCATCTTGTTAAGAGTTCATTTTCATCATAGTCTGCTCTTTATCTCCACTCATATAGATGCTTTAAAATAGATGAAACTCAGTGATCAATTAAATGCTTCCTTTTTAACCTGGAAAAATATACCTGATAAATGGAACTTCCCATTATTACCAGTGCTATTGTGAGAACTGGGCTCAAAGCCGTACAGTTTCTTCTTTGCCAAAGTGGGGCATAACCAAGTTTGTTTAGCAGGCTTTTCATGAGTGTCAGTCCTTACATTGAAATCTCCTATCCTGTCACCTGTTTTTAAATGCTTCAAATTTAGGAAGCCTGCTGCAGGTGGTATCAGTAGTTTTACTGATCTGAGGCCTCGGGCAAATTCATTTGAATTGCTTTGAAACTGCATATTCAAAATTCAGTAAAATAAGAGAGTCTGATGGTGCAGCTGCAGCATATCCCCTCCAGCTGGGTAAGCTGCAATGTTTCAAGGCCCTGGACTAGCAAAGCCTGGGTGTGATGTACAGATTATACAGATAGCTGCCAGGGAAGAGGTTTTGGCAAGCTGGGTGCAGCAGTAGGCCCTGCCAGCAGACTTGGGAGTAACAGTGGCTTTCATGCTATGTGGCATCTTTTGCTGGCTTTCCTAGACAGAAACTTGTTGGTGCAATAGTGGCGGGAGGCCAGTGGGAGGGGATTGCCTCAAGGGTAAAGGGATGGAATGCAGGAAAAACAATAAAATCAAAACGCTCCAGTTGTTTTGAAAGTGATTGGCTATCCTGAATGCCTTGGTATGGATCCAAAACGATCTGCTCCGTGGGCGGGTTTTGTTAAATTGCATTCAGAAATCATATTTGCCCTTGGGCAAATACCCTTGCTTTTATGCATACTAGGCAAGTCACGTGCACCAAAATGGAATTCACATGGTGCTTTAGATAAAATGCTAATGTCAGTCATCATACCTTTTACGCATATCCAGTCCCTTGGTTCTTCATGCCCATTTAAATATGCAGAAGTGCTTTTTATTATTACCTTGCCTGTAAAGCACTGATATATACATATGTAGGCCATGCAATTTATTGCAGTATAGTATAGACCCTTCTTTGCATATGTATTCAGCACTTACAAATATAAATTAAAGTCACGAGGCATAAAATATTTCAGTTGTTGGGTTCTGATTTTCTGAGATTTCTGCTGCTAAACTGTGGAAGTAATTCCTTTATGTGCTGTGCATCCGTGCTTTCCAAATAACTACTTCAGTAGCAGTACATGGCTTATCTTTGTAGCATTGTAGTGCCGGTATCCTTGTGAGCTTCACAGTTCTGGCACAACCAGCATAGTGCCTAAAGGTGAGATAATCAGAGAATACATGCAGGGACGTTATTTGAGCACCATATCATTGGACTGCACAGTATGTCTCTAGTTACTGAAAGGGCTACCATGAAATTTAATTTAGAATTTTACAGACGCATTTTGAATTGGAAATCTCTGTAATAACTTTCCCTTTGCTCAGCCTTTTAGCTGTGAAATTCAGTTGGGGAGTTTTGAAGCAGCAGGTAGTGTCGCAGCACTCTAGAGGGATTTTGCCAGAATTCAGCTAAAGTGCTTGCAAGTGTCATTTCCATATTTAACTAATTTCAGTTTTTAATTAGCTCCGTGTGAAAAATGAGAGTTCACGCTGAGCTAAGCTGTCAGCATAGAGTCTTGTTTCCTTTCTAGCCTCTCAGGACAATTATTGCAGCATCCTCTGGTTTTTTCAATGAGAGTGCTTAGCCACTGCACGCTCAGTCCCTCCCATTGTTCCCTGACAGGAGTCAGTGAGTGTGTTGTGTCTAGCTTGCTAAAATGGAGAAGATAAGTTCTGAAAGTATTTCAAATACAAAATTGGTGGAGTAAAGGTTCAAAGAACTTCACAGGTCTGACTCAGAAATATACAGCAGAATATAATGCATTCCTTCCTCAGACCTTACTGGTATTGTGCAGTCAGTTACATTGTTCAGAACAATATCTGATCAGTTTGGCTTCATTACTTATTACATTGAGTAATATTACGTTTTAGAAAGCACAGTATGAAAGCAGTTTTTCTTCATGGTGCTTTCTGCAACCCGAGTGCTAACAATGCAATGCTGCAGAGACTGCTTTGTCCCAAAGGGCTGTGGTCCTCTGTAGAAAGAGAACTGCTTTTGCACTACAATGCAGTATAGGGATGGAAATTTGTTAATCCTGCATCTGAACTGAGAATTTACCTCTGAGAACTTGAATGCAAATGTTAAAATGCTTTTCAAGAATGAAGTGAGAACTGCAGTTTATAAACTGCAAAAACATGGGATGTGAACAGATTTCTGAAATAATTTTATGAACTGGTGGCAATCCTGAGTTACATTTACATGACAGTCATATAATACCATTGTTATTTGTGAAAGAATGCAGTCATTAAATTGTCAAAATCATGTTTAAATGGAAAAATTGGTGAAATAACTCTGTAGATGTTATCACAGAGTGGTTTTTTTAAAAAAAAAAAAAAAAACAAAACCAAAACTGTCCTAGAATGTGAGATTTGTAAAGATTTATGAATAGATTCGATAGTGTCTTCATTTTAATTTCTG